GACATGAAACAATCAGATTGGTGATTATTATAGCTTCTAGTAAAAATTAGCCTATGGTGCATTTAGATGTGAAATCTGCATTTCGGAATGGTCCTTTACAAGTGGAAGTTTATGTATCACAACCTCCTGGATTTTTGAAAAAGAATTAGGAAGGGTGGTGTACAAGTTGCATAAAGTCTTATATGGACTGAAACAAGCTCCTAAAGCTTGGAATCTGAAAATTGATTCAATTTTCATACGTCAAGGATTCAGAAAATGTGAGATGGCGTATGGCGTTTATGTTTAACATACATATGATAGAAATATGATACTAGTGTGTCTTTATATTGATGGCATATTGCTAACAGGAAGTTGTTCAGATGAGATAGCTAAGTTCAATAAGGTGTTGATGAATGAGTTTGAGATGACTGATTTAGGAAATATGACATATTTTCTAAGGATGGAGATTTTTTACTCTGATAAGGGTATAATATTGCATCATCTAAAGTATGAACTTGAGCTTCTGAAGAGATTTGAGCTAATGAATCGCAAGTATGAAATCACACTTGCTGAAACAAATCGCAAGTTTGATTCTTGCGTTAAGGGTGATGATGTAGATGGTACAACTTTCAAACAGTTGGTAGACTCATTGAGATATCTTTTTAATATCAGACTTGACATTTGTTATGCAGTTGGAGTGGTGAGCGGGTTTATGAACAAACCAAAGTGGTTGCATTATCAAGCTGTTGTCAGAATACTGAGGTATATTAAGGGGAATATGAGGTATGGCATTTTTTCCCTCTAATGTTGAATTTGATTCAGAGATGATATGTTATTCAGACTCAAATTGGTGTGGAGATAGAGTTAACAGAAGAAGTATTTCTGTATATTTCTTCAAGTATTTGGGAGGTTCTATTTCTTTGTGCTCCAAGAATCAACCAATTGTTAGATTGTCAACCTATGAAGCTGAGTACATTGCAGGTGCTTTGACCGCTTGTCAAGCTTTGTGGATTCTGAACTTGCTGTAGGATTTGAAAATCAAGGTGAGTAAGCCTGTGAAGTTGATGATTGACAACAAATCAGGTATAAGTCTTGTCAAGAATACAGTGTTGCATGGAAGGAGCAACTACATTGACACAAAGTTCCATTTTTTTGAGAAACCAGGTTCAGAATGGAGTGCTTGAAGTTGTGCATTGTAGCACTCAGATGCAGTTGACAGATGTACTGACTAAGACAATCAAGATTAAACACTTTATCCATTTGAGGGATGAAAATTGTGTTGTTGAGTTTGATTAGTTGAATATGAATCAAGAGATGGTGTTAGATTGTAATTCATTTCAGTTTCACTTAAGTGTAATTTTAGTTTACATTTGAATTTCATTTAGCTTGAACTTGTGTATATAAGTTAAAGATTGGTTTAAGATTTTTAGAGATTGTTCAGTAGTTGTAACAAAACTTTCAATTTCAGGAAAAGAAGTTAGTTATAATTTTCTCTCTCTCTCCATTTTGATCTTCTTTCTTCTTGTGCACCAACACTAAGGTATCTGTGTTCGCACTCATACCCACTAATTTTAGTGGATATTTACCCATGCACATGTTCGAGCTCATTTTGCAAATTTTTACTCTACCCATTATAAACATTTTTTTGTTGGTACCCGATAAATATTGATCAAATTGTCATTTCTAATGGCATGAGAAAAAAAAAAACTATGGAAAGAGAAGGAATAAAGCTCAAGAGGAAAAAAGATGAATTTGGAATCTAAATATAAATTTTATGTTTTTTTTTCTTTTTTTTTTTCTTTTTTTAATAGTTTAACAACTAAGATTTTATTTTATTTTTATCTTATATTAATTATTTAATTTTAGATTTAATTAGTCTTTTGATCTCTTAGTTTAATTTATGATTTTATTTTGATCACTTAATAAATTAATAAATGCTAATTTTTAAAATTTTCAAAAATATCTTTGATAGCCAACATAATTTTTTAAGTTAAGTTTTGATTAAAAAATGTTGACTTATTCTTATGTAACAACTCAATTGTAAAATTGGACATAGAGATTAAAAAAATATGAATGAAATATGTTCTTCCACTTCCAAACCTCTCAGGTCAATTGATATTTTTTAAGATTCCTCGTATTTCTTCGAAATCGTTAGTCTTAATTTTTTCACATTGGTGAGTACGCAATATCAAAAATTAGTAAAAACTATTATAAAATATAATATTAGCGATCCAAAAACAAAGCTTTTTCATTCAACTTCCTAAAGAAAGAAAGTAATTAGAATAAAATATTTTTTTAAACTTTATGATGATACCCATTAAGGGTAAGGGTGTGCATGGATTATAAACCAAACCAAATTAAATTATATATATGATTTGGTTTGGATTCTAAAACCATTTATATAAAACCGATTTATTTTTTTAAAATCGATTTACAAGTGGATTGATTCGATTTCAAACCGATTTTTAAAAAAACAGTTTTTTTAAAAATCAAATTTAAATCGATTTTTCTCAAAGCCAATTTTTTATCTTCTTTAAAGAAATCAGTTTTAAAACCAATTTTTAAAAACAATCAATTTTATTGTAAACTATCAAATAATTGATAAACCACCTGAAATTTATTCTACTTTAAACTTATTGCAAACTATCAAATAATTGATATAAATCAATTAATTAATTTTATTTCAGTTTTACATTGAATTGAATCAACACTTCATATATCTTAAACTTTAAACTACTCAATGTAAAACTGGAATTAAACTAATTCTTTTTCATCGTGAATTAAATCAATTAATCGAGAAGTACGTTGAATTGATATAAATCAATTAATCGTGAAACTTATTCTACTTTAAACTTATTGCAAACTATCTATCTTAAACTTATTCTACTTTAAACCAAATCAATTTTATTGCAAACTATGGGTGTTGATTTTGATTTTTCCAAACTATTCTACTTTTGTTTTTGAAGCTTATTGAAAAATGGTTACCGAATCTCAATCCGGTTTGAAACAAATGGTTACCGATTTTTTTTTAATTTGATAAATGGGCCACCAAATTTAAAATATAAATTTGGACTGAATTTTAAAATTTGAATTAATTTGAATAGGAATTTGGTTTATGGGTATTGGTTATTTTGCACACCCCTATATATAAGTTTTATTTATTACATCTACGTTACCTTAATTGTCATTTATGACCATGAAACAAAAAAAAGACGAATTCAAAAAATAGATTAAACATAACACCAATTTTTAATAGTCAAATCGGTGCACCGTATTTTCAAATTTGATTTTTGTGAACCGGTATTTTTTACACCCCTTAGGTTGTTTTCTACAAAGAGAGTCATCAGCAGCAACTGCAAATGTTTAATATTATTATTTATCCATTAACAAAATTTGCAGGAATATTTCAACTCCTTTAACTTTATACTTTTTAACTTTGACAAATACTCCCAAAAATATTAAGATTAGTCATGCCAGATTTTTTTCCTCCACGTGGATTCAGCTTCACACATTCATCATTAATTTTTTTCCACTTTCTCTAGACATAATAAAAGTAATATTCACAAACTCAACAAATGCTTAGAAACAACAACATTAATTTCTTTTTAAAAATCATTTATCTTCAACTTTTCTATTTCCTTTTCAAATTTTCTTTTTTCCATGTTTTATTACAAGCTTTGATCTTCCCCAATAACAGAGCATAAAACAAAATGGGAAAGATAAAAAATTATATCAAAACTTGAGAAAAAGAAATTTTGAAAAAATAAAATGAAGATGAAGATGGATGAATTTGGAGAAATGTGAGAGAACCCGAGTATATAAGAACTGAGTTGAATGAAACTCTATTCCTAATGACTATAAGCTCCACCTGTTGCAAGTTGAGCAAAAAATGAAACCAGTCAGAAGCAATAACCACAGCAACCGATATACAGAAGTTGTATAATAATAAAAATGGAAAAAATTACCTAATATTTGGAAATAGAAGAGATGGAATACAAATGGATAGAAGCCCTCGGATACAAATGTAAAACGAAGGTGAATGGAGGAAATAGGATGTTGCAGTGAAATATTCAAAATCTGATGGATTTGCAGCCTTGTCATATTATTAGTTGATTTGCAATGGTTTTATTTGAGACAGTTGGAAAAATGAGATAGTAGACACATAATATATCCAATAATGACACTCGTTGCAAAGTCAAGGATGGGCAAAGAAATATTTTACATACATAGAATTTTTTTATATTGTAGATCTATATAACCTTCACCTACTTGTTTTTACTACATAACAATAGTGTACTCTCCTTTCATAAGTAAAATGGTGAAGGTAGTTCTATCTACGGTTCTATTTGTACATCTGGAGTTTTTTCCTATACAATAGAAAAATAAATATTTGTCCAAACAAACAAGTTGGGTAAAGCCTACTGAAACGGTAAATTTGTTTCTCAGCATTAATATTGCTCATTTATTGAAGGAAATTACCCAATTTTTTAAATTTGGAGTTTAAGAGTGAACCTCTAGGTCAGTATGCTCTAATCTACAATAGTTGTCTTGACATAAACCAAATTAGATCATCTTTAACAACTTCATGGTGCAACCTGCATAATGTAAAGCTAGCCAATACAACCCATCTGGTAGCTCTCAATCTAATATTGCAGCTATAGATAGAAGTAACTTGCACTTTAACAAAAATAGCCACTTATCTCTACATTTAAACAATACTTTTAGATCATGCAAGGATGTGCATAGATAGATAAAGAAAGCACAACCTTCTATAGTCATGAAGAATGTCCTTCAATTATTCTAAAAATAAACTTGCAAATTGTCTCCAGCAAAAATATGCTAGTTATATAAAAATAAAATTATTTCAACAACCATAGCCTACTCTCCACACCTACTTGGACATGAGGAATATCCACACCAGCTAAACTGCCCAACACAAAAATTGTATCTGTACTGTAATATTCACTAGAGACCAAAGAAGAACTATACAGAGTGAAGGGAAAATATTAAACAGAATTACTTCAAAGTTTATTCTGAGAAACTGCCTTGCATAGTTCATCTTCACAGAAGAGAACTCTACTAGATGGCATCAGGTAACGAGAAGAGAAGCCTGGTTCTCTGAAAAGAACAGCTGTAACCTGTCGCATCTCAACTTTCACACGAGAAGGTGGTCGGGGGCCATGACGAGGTGCTTTAGGGGTATTTGGGCTTGGACTCATTATCCCATCGCGCTTGCTGGAAAAATTGATCACATTATAAAGACATGCTTTAAAATAGCAGGAAGAGATATTTGGTTAGAAACAAATACCGCAAAAAAGGCCAATGCTGAGAAGGACGAGGAGTCATTATATTTAACATCTCTTGCCGAGAGCGATCTGGGGTAGTATAATTGAAGTGAAAGTGCCTTGCAAAGATGACCTAACAACAACACTTGAAAAAGTTAGCCATTACAGTTGTAAAAGTCAGATATTTCAGTGGCATATGCACAGTAGGAAGTCATAAAACTTACTGCTTTTCTAACCCTTTGTGAAACATGGAAAACAGGTCTCAGTTGATCATGGTGCAGGTGGCATAGTATTTTAACCTCAAATTTATGAAAGGAAATGGGGTCAACACAGTCATATATAGTTCAAACAGATAAGGAAATATTCAGAAAGACATGACTATAGAAAAACAATTGAATACAGTAAAATGAAAGTACAAGAAATAGTTTGAAAATCTTTTTGCTTGAAATTGTGAATAGCTCACAAATGTTCAGCAAGCTTCATTAAATCCACGTGATGCTTCATACTGTAACTAATTACAACTAGCAAATTAAAAAAAACAAAAAACACAGAAATTTCAGTCATATGGTGATACGAAACAGATAACTGCATGGAGGTCCATTCTTCTGTCTTCAGCAATCTCAATTAGTCATCTAGAGGCATCTGTACAACTTTAGAAACACCAATGGAGTAATAGTATAATACAACCAACAACCTTTTGTGTGCTTTATCACAGTACTAATACACACTTCTACATTTAAACAAGTCAGAACAAATCACTGAAACATACATATGCAAAAACAAGAAATAACCAGCTGAAGATGAAATTTAACCCTGAATCATAAGCAATAGTAAAATAGAGAGCTGAAAAAAGTGAAACAAGAGAAGATAAACACCTGAGATAACACTGAGAATTTTCTTGACCTAATAATATCTATACTAAATTAATAGGAACACAAACACATTCAAATAGAATCTTCAAAACCACATACCTAACATGCAATAATCATGAACATTAACATAAAAAATAAAAATAAAAGATAAGGCATCAATGATCACAATCCTCTAAGGTTGAAACTTGAATACAAAAATTGTAAGTGCAGGTGATCTCAAAATGTTTGAAAACGGTCTACAACTGCAATATGTGGCAGGAACAATAAGATTTTAAATATCTATGTTGCAGCCGCAATTACAGCAAAGCATTGTTAACCGCAATATTACACAATATCAATGATCACAGCACAACAATCAATTTTAAACCCAAATCTCAACCTTCAAATCAAATATTTATCATGATAAACTAAATACCAAATAAAAACAGGTTTGAGCATTACAACTTATTATATAGTAACATCATTAAGTGTAGTTAAAATGAACAATAACCATACCAACAACTCAGTGGGGAGAGACTCAAGCCTGGATTCCGACTGCCATTCTTCAATTCTGGGAGTTTTTGGTGTCCCGACCAAACTACTCTTAACCAAATTCACAGGGGAGAGCATCACAGGACTTTCATCAAACACCTTACCCTCAAGAACATCCCTCTTCTCCGAATTCAAATCAGCATCTCGTTTTTTCCCAATATCACTGCAAACCCTACCAACAACCGATCCAAAACCTAAAGATCTGTTACCCCGAAGCTGAGCCAAAGTTCCAGGTTTCAAATACTTTCCCCCAGTGCACCTCGATTTTCTCCTCCCTTTCTCAACCTTCCAATTTCTCTCTTTCTGCGTCGATTTTCCCATTGTTAAGCTCCGATATGAATCAACAACTTCAATTCAACCTAAAAAACAAACAAGAAGCATAATCAGAAACAGCATAATCATAAACAGAAAATTAATCATGAAATAAAATTGACAGAAAAGGAGAAAACTCACATGAGGAAAAATTGGAGATTGAAAATTAATCTCAAACCCTGAAAGGAAGGATTTGAGATTAAGAAGAACAAAACAGAGGAAAAGGAGAGAAAGAGGGTTTTAGAGAGAAAAGTAGTGAATGAGGAGGCTACTAGGGTTTGTGTTTTCGCTATATTTGAATTTTGCTTATTAAACAAAAGTTCCCGCCAAAATTTTGGTAACATTTTGGTGCACTGTATGTGGTACTTCACTTGACATGATCCAGGTGGTGTGACGTGGCGGTTTTTAATTGGTTGGTTTTGGCATCAAAGGCAACGTGGGTCCCGCCAGTTATTGATTGATGAAATTACTGCGCCTTGTGGGACGGCGTTAATTTGTAGTGGTGATTTGTTTTGTTTCGGTTCTGTTTTTCTTAACTAATTATTTTATATTCTGAGGTGAGAATGAAAGGGAAAAGTAGGGAAATGACGAGCTTGTCCTCGCGTGATCGCAGTACGGTTTTATTAATTTAATTGAATCCTTTTTATTGGTTCATCATTCACACGTGAGGATACGCGCGCTGTGATAAATCATCTGCGTAAACGACTTGTAAGTAGGATATGAGAAATATTATTATTATTATTATATTATTATTATCATTATTATTATCATTAAAAAGATGGAGGGGTTTTCTTCACAAGTAATTTTTCAATTTAAAAAAAAAAACTGATTAAATGGTCATCAAGTTTTGAAATCAAACTATTCGGGCTAAAATAAAAATTAATTGATTATAGTCATTTTTGTTTTAAGATTAATTTTATACGTCAACAAGTTAATGAGGTTGTTCATGATTTGACTCTGACAATTTTGTCTCTTACTAACTTTTAAATTTGTAATGATGTACATATATAATTAAGAATAATCAGAACGATGTACCTTATAAGATTGAAGAGACGGTTGTCGAAACTTGTGAGTATGAGAGAATTACTACCCTCATTTCCGTTTAGGATTTTCAGAGTAGTTTTTAATTGTCTAATGGGGAGACACTTAAATAGCTAAACGGCTGAGGGCAGAGATCTCTCATTGGCCTTAACTGAATGGTCCAACCCATTACGGTCCATTCAGGCATAAAACTCAATCAAACAATTCATCTATTTAGTGTTTAATAACAATAGACCATAATATAATTAATTAATAATTAATTATGTCAATCCATATTTGATTAATTAAATAATTAATCTAACAATCTCCCACTTGGATGACAATAATTAATTATTAAAAATATTGATTCTAGTATTAGAATATCAATAATGGTCAAAACACCAATCCATCAAAAGAAGTAAATTTCAACGCGGTAGAAATTGTACCCGATAAGAAAGACACATTGTTAAGAATGTGGTTGGGCCTAACTCAACCCTACAAAATCGGTTGATAGAGTGAGAATTGCCCCCACTTATAATTGTTATGAACATGTGTTTATAAGTAGGGGTAATCCTCACTCTATCAACCGATTTTGTAGGGTTGAGTTAGGCCCAACCACATTCTTAACATGGTATCAGAGCCTCGTTTAAGATCCGGTGGGTCACCTTTTATGGTTTCCGCTATCGGGCCACCCACCATTTATTTCCACGCTTCAGTTGTCCAGTCCTGAGCGTGAGGGTGTGTGTTAAGAGTCCCACATCGGACAATATATGGCATGAACATGTGTTTATAAGTGGGGGCAATCCTCACTCTATCAACCGATTTTGTAGGATTGAGTTAGGCCCAACCACATTCTTAACACACATCATACATGTTAAAACTCACAACTTTATATAAAAAATGGTGACTTTAGAGTAACATATTTAATTTTAGAGTAATATGTCATAAAGAATGGCCAAAGCATATGAAAATGATATTGATAAACTCCCACTAACCCAAAGTATCATAAGACTTACTCATGTGTATAAGTCTATGGTTAGTGATTATACTAATGATTTTAAAATATAGGTCATAGAATATCCACATAGGTCTAAGAATAGTAATTACATATAGGAATACCTTATTAACAGAGTAATTACATTTAATTATAAGTACCTTCATAACACAATATCATACTCGATAGGAGTATTGATATTTACTTGTACTTTCATATTATGACCAGACAAATGTGGACTATTGAAGATATAATAACACAATATTATTGCACGATAAAGAATTATTGTGTCTTTTCAATATCAACTTAAATATCAAATTATGATGTTTCCTGAGATTAAGAGAATAATATATATCTCAGTATAATAGAATAAGACTTTTTATAATTATTTTATATTTTGAAGTCCTTTTAAAATTTGTCATATTTACGGTGCGCGCAAAAATATATGACACTATGAGAATAATAATCCAAAATTTTAGATTATATGATTGTGTTCACATGCGATCCACTCCCACTAGGGCTGGCAATGAACCAAACCAACTCGAAGATAGTTCGGAATTCGACTCGACAATTAAATTGTTGAACTAGGTTCATGAACCAAATGAGTTGAGTATGAGCGAAAAATTAAGTTCGTTAACTAAATGAGCTGAACTTGAACTATACATAGTTCGACTCGTTAGGTTCATGAGTCAAATCGATTACATATGAAAAGAATTATACTGTCTTTAAGATTAGGTTTAAATATTTACTTCAAATCTTAGACAAATTTAATGTTCAATTTAGTAGTTTTTGAATTAGACTCTCAAATGTATCTCTTGAAAGTTGTGTAGGTTTTGAATTAGTAGATTTCGAAGATAGAGTTAAATTACAATATGATAACTTTTATTTTATTTTAATATTTTATTTAAAAAATATATATTTATTTTAAATGTCAAATATACTAAAATTTAAAAAAATAGTTTTTAAGTTCGTGAACCATGTGAGATGAACCTAATGAGATGAACCTAACGAGTCGAACCGAACTGTTCGTGAACTTATAACGAGTCGAGTTTGAGCTTAAAATAAAGTTCGTGTCGAACTCGAATTCGAACAATTCTTAACGAGTCGAGCCGAGCTGAGGTGAGTTCGACTCGACTCGACTCATTTCCAGCCCTAACTCCCACTAATCCAATATGATAAGGATTTATCAGGCCACTAATATTAAATACTCTGATTGAACAACGGGGGTGCTAATGTTATTTTTAGTGCAAAATTATACAGAGAAGTGGTTCTATAATATATCATCAAATTCAACCACATATGTTGCACGTCAATAGAATATATCTTTATTTAGATAATTTACATGAAAGAATATGATGGTCCTATAAAAGATTTACCATCTTTTGAGTGAGATCAAATTCATAACTCGCTCAAAACTCAAATGCTTTAAGTATAACTACACACATTTGAGAAACATATTACGTTATACGCAGCGGAAAAATATGAGGTTAAATTCTTCCACTTTATAGAGAATAATAGTTGAATTATTAATATTAGAATTTTAAAATATTTAAACAAATATCCAACTATTTTTTAATCATTCAGGTAACGTCACACCGATAGAGTATGTTCATCACTCACATAATACATAGAGGATTGAAATCCATTTTAATAAAAAAATTATTGGATTTCATAAAGTATTACATGTCTTCAAAAAAAAATTCTTAAATAATACTTTCAACAATATGAAATAAGAAATATAACAATGTATAAATATTATATCATCAAAAATTCTAATACCGATAGGATACTTGAACTATAATTTACACAATCATAAATCATAAGTGCATTAAACAAAACAAATTATATTAATAATAGTATACCGATAGGGTATAATTATTATCGATATAATATTTATTATAACTAAAATTAATTTAACAAAATTTAAATAATTGTACCACGATAGGTGAGTTACAATCATGCAAATTAAAATTAATTATATTTTATTCAAAATAGGAAAATTTATATAATTGTATCCATGATAGGTGAAATTACAATTATACAAATTAATATTGATTACTTAATTTTCCATAATAAAAGTCATAAAATAATAAGATTTCAATATATATATATATATATATATATATATATATATATATATATATATATATATATATATATATATATATATATATATATATATATATATATATATATATATATATATATATATATATATATATATATATATATATATATATATATATATATATATATATATATATATATATATATATATATATATATATATATATATATATATAATTGCATAATTTTAATTTCAAAAGGAAGTGAATAATATTTTAAGAAATTACTCCTTGTATGCAATTATTATATAATAGTCACAAGAGATTCAAAATTAATAAATAATCAAATACAACTAACCTCGAAGAGAATGTGACATTTATCCTTGTGAGTAGAGGTATTAAACTTTAATGACTTTTAGAATATTATAGTATCATCTCAAAATGATTCATAAACAAAGAATAAATCGTTATATCAAAATATAAAACTCTATTTATAAATAATCATAATTCAAGAATAATGCAATTTAATTTTATTAAAGAATATCTCAAAATTATTATATATGAAAATTTTAAATATATTTAAAATTTGAATTAAATCAATCATTTTGTAACATATTATATTTAAATATTGAAATATACCAAAACATCAAAATAAATAGAATATCTAATACTATTTATTTGGCATCAACTTTAGGAGAGAGTTGTTGAAGCTTATATAGAAACAAGATTGTAGACCAATATCATATTCAATAACATAAAAGAACATAAAAAAAGGATTTTATATTAAAATCAAAAACCATTCTTTACATCTTTATTAATTAATTAATTATTAAAATTAATATAAATATAGTATCATGTCAGTATAAATTTATCCATTAAAGTGATTAATTTCTTTTATCACAATATAATACGTTTTAAAACTTCCTAAAAATCATGTTATGTATTGGCACATACTTTTGAAAATGCACGTTCAATTTGGCGATTAACTGTGATGGTATAAATATTCATCATAATTTTGTGTGTACGCCATCATTGAATTGAATGAAAAAGGTTAATAATTTGACAATATATTGTATGTCAGCATTAGCAATATACTGGTTAGAAAACAAATTGTTCAGTTCATCACCTATATTTACTGATAATTTCAAAACATGTTTACTTTGAATTAACTCTCTTATATAATTTCAAAAAAACTTGGATCATAGAGAGTAGCATGATATACATAGATATTACAACCAAAATTTATTATATTATTAACTAATAT